ACATTTATTACTGAGCGTCTTAGGTCAGACGATACGATTATCAAATCGATCATCGACTTCTGTGCACAAGTTTACCGGTACCAGGTGTACTGATGTACTTTTCGATGCTCGAAGGTGTTCATAATGGACAGTCCGTTGTTTGCATAAAACCGCAACAACTTCATGCCGTTATTGTTGAGGTCGCAAGGTCCGTTTTTTTTTCAATCACGTCGTTCTACTTTTCAGTGTCTCCTCAGACCTGCGGATTATAGTCGCCCATGAAAATAAGGGATACTCCGTAGTCGCCACTTTGTACGGAGCACATTCAGCTTCTTCAAAGAAGGAGTCTTATTGCACCTTCGTATCTGGCGCATGGTCGTATGACAAGGTATAAATGCTCTGGTCTGTAGTATCCTCTGTTGGAGGATTTGAACTCTTTGGCCAGAAAGGCTTCAATTCAATAATTCTGTTAGCTAGGTTGAGTTCAACCAGAACACAAACACCGACCTGCGTACTGGTCGTGATTTCGACACTTGAGTAAAATAGCTTCCCCGCAGAGATTCGAATTTCCAAATCCTTGGCGCTTCATCGACCAGGGTCTAACAATGTCGAGTTGGTACTTTATGGCCTCACCAAATAACTCTTGCTCTTTCTCTCTGGGTGAGGATATATTTCAATTTCTCACTAGTGGTGCCGTTCTCTTTCAACTCTTTGTGAGATCGCGCAGTCTGCTTCCTCCGTTTAAAACGGGTATTGACTCCGTTGCTGATTGGTATTTTCGTTGTCGTCCATCTTCGTCATCAGTCGTATTGCTGCAACTTCCCCAACTCTTAAATAGCGATCAAACGGTACAGATCGCCGAATTTTCCAGGTCTTCCTCAGTCCCCCTTACAGCCTGCGCGGCCACTGATAACCAGGGCGATGACCAAGCCGTTACAATGTTCGATGATGGAAACACCATGAGGGGCAAGTGGCTAAGTCTACGGAGACTTCGCCACGGTCTCCAACCACCCTGCTCTCTCTCCGGGCTTGAGGCCGGCAAAGAAATACTCTCTTCGGATACTAAGTCACCGTTAATAGGTTTTACTGCAACCCTTCAGCCCGTCAATTTCAACGCATCAGACGCTGGTTACCGAACCCGGCACCTTTATATTAATAAATGATTATTAACGAGTCATAAGCCGTTGTGACTTCCAGACCATAGGAAAATCATTTAATCTTTCTTTCAGTGCTTATAAATCTCTCTCTCTTTTTGCAGCTTTCGTCGGCCTTCTAGACTGCAACTGAACCTCAGTCAGGCAACGCTACTTGACTCTGCTCCATGTGAAATAGTTGCGTCAGTATGCATTCATTAT